ACTTCAAACAACTGAAATCCACTCAAGCACAGAGAAAGTATAATTCCTAAACTCTCGCCTTTGAGGTCTTGAGTGTGAACAGTGAAGTCATCATTCACCAAAATGCTAAAAAGGCTATTGTGCATGAGATTAACGTTCCCTGGAGGCCCCGGCAGACTGCACTGTGGATCTTTCAGGGGAACTCAGAATATGACAGGTCCACCCTGAACTCAAAACAGAAGAATAATACACTAGAGTGACCTGCATTAGCACTTGCATATAGGTCCCTTCGCTGATGACTCAATGGTATAGATGTTGGCAGTAGCTCAGCATTTCCATGACACTGTGTTTGAGTGGGTGTGTGTGTGTGTGTGTGTGTGTGTACACTTTAATCACCATCACCATGACAAATGGTGAAGCCCTGAGGCAAAAGAAAAGGTGCCATCAGTGTTTTGGCAAGGTTATGCAACCATTTAATCAAATTCAAATTTCCCTAGTTAAAAGAAACGGGCAAACACTGAGACCCCTGAAGCTATTCAGACATGTCTGAATGAGTTGCTGAGGTTTGTCTTTGGAGACTAACGGAACGCTTTTGCTTTTACATCCAGTGGCAACTGCATTTATAACCCTCATTGTGTTTTCTTTGTGTTGCAGCTATAGTGATAGAGGATTATAGAGCCAAATGTAATATTGTTGGTCACACATTTGTTCATATTCATATGTTCAACAAAACTTAAAAATGTTCCTATAAATGTAAGGTATTTTTCCAAAGGGAATCAAAGTAATTTCATTCAGGAACCTCGGTGTTGTTTCGTATGTTGCACTCGCCGGTTGAAAATGTTAAACGTCTTGACTTACAGTTTCTTGGACTGAAAGATGCATATTGAAATAAATCCAGTCTTCAACAGAAGTGCTAAAGGCCTGTAAGGATCCAGTGGCAAAGTTTATTATCAAAGGGAGAGATGGGAGCGTAGCCTAGTTTGACAACAGAGAGAAAAGTAAAATAACGGCAAGTTGGAGATTTCAAGCAAGTCTGGCCTGGACATCAGAGATGAGATAGCTTAGTGGAGATTCTTTGGGTGCAGCCCCAGAATGCATGGAGCTAGCTGCAGGGCTATCTGAGCTCTGTTGCTAACCCAACCCCCTTTATTCAACACCGGCAAATTGTTCTTTGGATTGTCAGGTAGTCTGAGTTTTAAGGGCCTGCTGGGGCCATCCTCTGCACCCACGAGACCAAATTAATCTTGATTTTAGAAAAGACAGTAGTGTGGTTCTTTTTTGCCAGGTTTGCTGGGTTTGGCTCTGGGCATCCCGGCAGCTCACACTGAACTCCTGCTCAGGTCTCTGGAGATGGACTCTTTCATATGTGGGAGGGAAATGGAGATGGAGAAATCATTATCAGATGAAATATCGCTAAACACCACCAGAGCGGTGTCTTGGGACCATGCCCCTCTGTATAATGTGCAAATATACAACTTTATTACATGTACAAAAACCCACACAGATTAGCTCACCAACCTCTACGAGTGCACTGGTCTTCAGACCGCCAAGAGATTTAGAGAACGCAAATGTAAAAATACTGATTGTTCTCACATCATATATTTAAATTTAGATCATGTGTTGAAGGCGGTGTCCCCCAGATTGATGTTGAGTTACACAAAATGTCCTTCTAAACCCATCAAGAACAACTAAAAGCTACATTCCCATGAAGGCCAGAAGCCTGAAGGCCTCTCAGCACTGACATGACGCGCACTTTGCTTGAGTCTCACCAGCAAAATGATTATTGCTTTTCAACGAACTGGGTATAAAACGGAGATATGTGTGAGACAGGAAGTATACCCAACAGACGGATCCTCAAGGGTTGGCAAATGATTGTACTCTTTTTAAGAGAGTGTTTGTTTTCTCCGTAAGTTTACATTCCAGTCAGAATTGAGATCTGATATAATTCCACTCTGAACTGGTAAGTGTAAACAGCGCCTTGTGTTTCCTCCAAAGTCGTGCTCCTTATTGGAGTAAAGCAAGCTAATGCTAGCCGTTTGGATCCTGAAAAAGTGTTGTTTTTTTCTAAAATCAACCTTCAAGATAAGTACGTATTGGCCTACGCTCAGTTCCAAAGACTAATATTCGGTATTGGGGGGATGTCTGCGGGATGTGAGGGTTCAGAAGGCTTAAGCTTCACATTGCTGTGAGTAGTAAGCTAGTTAGCCAGATATGCTAACCAGCATGGGTCCAAACGGATAAACACGTTGTGTGGTCAATCCTTCTATTTTCTTTTTTTTCTGGTTAACCCAAACAAAATAAAGACCAGGAAAGAACTGCTAATTACCCTTAGCTCACATACAGTCATGGTTCAGTACACAAGTGGAAAATAATGGAAAATAATCCACAGTAGACTCCTACTCCTACTGCTCCACAAATATATCAGCAGCAGTAAATAAATGAAATGGTCCTTAACCTTGGAGATATAAATGGGTTAGATTCCTACAGTAGGTTAGCTAATTAGCTTGACAAGCTACACTCTTTCAAGCTGAAGCAGATGGCCATACCCTCAATTTACAGGTTAACGCTTCTGATATGTTATTTCGGAAAGCCTGCAAATCAGGTTTAAAAAGAAAAACAAGAATTGTTGACCTATTATACTTAGTTGCACATGATGACTATGGTTTAATAATGTTTTGGAAATGGAGTTTCAGTCATTTAAAGGCGAAGACCAGACATAATACCTCCTGTTCTGATTTATTTTCTTTTTAGTTGTTATGTAGCTGCTCATAGAAATGATGTGTAGCTTCAATTTTGCACACTTTAGGTTGCCCAGATCGAGGTGGTGATAATCTCCCACTTGGTTTCCCTTGGAAACCGTCACCGGTGCCCAGATTTGAGGACACTGGAGTAGTACGTCAACCAAAGTCATGCGCTCCAAGAGATATTTGCACATGCTTTGTGTCTTGGCCAGTCTGAGTTATTCAAGGGGTTTGTTATCTTGGGTCTCCTTCATGCATTCATTCAAATCGCCCCTCTGCTCCCACACAGAGGGCCCTACTTTTTGTAGCCCCCTGCTATCTTTGAATATACACCCTCTATCAAACACACACATGCAGGATTATGCAGACATTTATAGCAGCACATGTAGGCATGAGCTGGCAGATAAAACAGGAACGTGTGCACAATGCCACTAATGCACTCGCAAGAAGAAGCTAGGACATGCAGTCCAGGACATGCACCGTCACACAGATTTTGGATGTTTTGGACTTCAGAAGAATGTTGAAGCCGGGCCAGATTTCAGACAGCTGTGTCTCCCTGATTCAGACAGTTTAAAATGGACTGTCCATAACAAGGACTTGACCTCTGACCCAGAGCCTTTCAGCACTGTGTTTCCTCACTCTGCTCTTTCTGCAGGCCTAATGATGAAGACACATTCCTTCTTCCCATGCTCATGCTTGGATATCACTTTTGTTTTCCTGAAAATGTAACAGCACAGGGTGTGATAGAGACATACTGTAGATGTAGTGGAGATATAGTGGGTGGATGAAAGACGGCAAATAAATCTTACTTTTCTGCACTCCTTGCAGATTCACACACCATGAACTGCTCTCTCTGGCCCACAGCGATGGAAAGTTAGTATTAATGCCATTCACTCCAATATACTGACGCTTCAAGCCTCAGAATAAGAATGGTACATTTCTAAGTCGATCAATTTTTCGCATTAAAGGCTGTTGTCTTAGTGATGTTTTAAACTGCACTTTTATTTGATCTACTTCATGTTTTTAGTCTGCCTATAGCTTTGTGTTATGATGTGTTTCACAGCAGCTTTACTGTGCTTTAGTCTTTCTTTGATACTATGAGGATCCAAACAGATCAAGTTCTTTGAATTTGAATAGATGCCGGTTTTAGGGGAGTAATATGTAAAAATAAAAAAAACTTCACCAGCCTTCTGTGGCTCCAAAGATGTGTGAAACATGACAAACTGCCTCATATGATGTCACTTAAGGTCCGAAGAGTACAAGTCTAATATGAATTTGAAGGTACGCAGTTAACGAGACTTCTGGAGCCTGTTCCTCATCTAAGCCTAACAACTTGAGGCAACATTAGCAACTTCTAGCATTACACACACGATGACACAACACACGATTAGCTCACTGAAACATAGACTGCATATCAAGATGGACAAGCAACAGATGCCTGGAGTGAAGCCTAAAGATTTATAGCTTTAAAGAAAGGACAGTGGACAGAGTTAGAAATTGGAGTGAGAGTGGGAAAGACATGACGTAAAGGAAGCCACAGGTCGGACTTGAACCCGGGGCCACCCACTTGAAAGGACTAAAGCCTTTGTATGTTGGGCGCCAGCTAACCGCTAGACTATCAGCGCCCCCAAATGACATGTTTATTGGTCTCTGTAAGAGATACAACAGAGGAAAAGCAACTTGTATTTTTGTATTATAAAGTGCATCAGCTATGCCTGGACCTTCCTCTCAAAAGATCACTTACGTTGATGCATGTCTTCTTGGAATCAAATATTGTAAATACATTTATTTCCATAATGCATTGAAAATGTTATGTGAAAATATCAAGAATATCAATATCAATATCATTGGGAATAGTAAATAATTACCCCTAAAAGTTACCTTACTTCCTCACTTATCATGATGATGGTTTTTATAATTCCATTCGAGTCAAAATAGAGACTGTGAAACACTTCTCTCTCCCTCCTACTTGTAATAAAGCACCTGTCCTTATACAGTATAAAGGGATTAGACAACTATGTTAAGAGCACAGGAATAAAACCCACACATTTGTTTTTTGTTTTTTTGTGTGTGTGTGTGTCAACATTAAGGCAGAAAGGCAGGTCAACCACATGATCCAGCAGCCTGAGCGGCTGTAAACCGATCCTCATAGTCTAAGCACATCCTCTATGCTGGGGTCCCTCTTCTGCCAGGCTCACACACACACACACACACACACACACATATACACACTCTCTCTCTCTGGTCTGCACACACATTCCAGTTCAGGCTCTGCGAGGGGCAGGCGCAGAGTGTGTGTGTGCTTCAAGCTTGGATCTGTTCTTCAAGAGTGAGCGTCTCCCTCTCTCACTCTCCACAAGTCGTTAAAGTCTGAAAGCGGAGGAGGGAGAGACGGCAGAGAGACCAGGGGAGGTCTGACGACACCATCCCAGCTTTTTTTCCCCGGCACCTTATTTTGAATGCACGGATTGATGAATGCGAGCGCACAGTCTGCATCTGGCCTGTGGTCTCCTGGAGGAACACCAAGAATTTAAGAACCAAGGCTGTCACACTGCAAGAGATGTGTGCAACGCTTCCTGCCAGGACAAGAACTTGAAGGATACTTTTTTGGAAAACGGAGCACGTGTATCTGTCCATGGTGGGAGTAGGATTCAATGCAGGAGGTCCAGTGTAAGAATGGATGACGCATGCTCCAGGCTAACGGTGTCTGATCCAGCTTTAAAGCAAAGAAGGAACACCTAAGGAGACAAGAAGAACTTACCAGACTTCACCTGCAACTTTCCCCCAAAGCTGATATGATGCTTTGGTGCAACCAGTTGCTCTCTTTAGCAGCACTTCTTGTGATTGTGAGCTGCGGAGGAGGGGAGCAGAGGAGAGGGACGGATAGCAGCAGCAGCAGCAGCAACACAGGTGGCGGCAGCAGCAGTAGCAGCAGCAGTAGTGGAGGGAGTAGCAGCAGCAGTAATAATTACAGCAGCAGCAGACGCTTTCATAAGATCCAGCATGGCCAGTGCACCTACACCTTCATCCTGCCTGAGGGGGACGGAGGCCGAGGGGGATCCTGCAGGGAGGCCAAAGCTGGGAACCCGCAGCAGCAGCAGCAGAACGCCAACTCCCTCCAGAGGGACGCCCCGCCACCTGAGCCGGACTTCCCCAGCCAGAAGATCCAGCAACTGGAGCACATTATGGAGAACTATACCCAGTGGTTGCAGAAGGTAAGGAGGGTGGGTGGGTGTGTTCGATGAAGCGCTTACAAAGTTGACCAACAGAGCTGGAGACAATTAAAATGATTTGCTCCCCAAGCTATTTAGCAATGATTTATTTGAGTAAAAAGATGTTTTCTGAAGAGTGGAATGCAGTTGATATGAAAAACCAAAAATATTTCCTGTTTTGAAACTCTTCAGACTTGTGATGTCTGAAAAGGAAAAGGAATAAACTTTACACTTTGCCTTTTTGATCGATACATAATTCCTCACTATTATGTAATGTTGGGTGTTGAATCCACAACAACTCATGCATGCGACTGGATCTTATTCCTTTTTGAAGTGGTTCACGCCGTCCTGTATTTGTCGGGGGGGGTGTTTGTGTTTCCGCGGGTGTGTGGTCTCCGCCGTGTGTATGTATGCTTCTCGAGAGATAACTTGTTTTTGGTTTTCTGGATGAGGGCTCTCAGACTGAAGACTGCTTGTGTTTGCTGTTTTTTTTTTTCCTGTAGCTGACACATTGTTTGTCTCGGTGTTTGTCAGACCAACGTTTATGTGCTTTAGGAGCGGGGGAATGTTTTTGTTTCTGTGTGATGCTGTGTCACTTTTTTTAAAACAGAAATGTCCCGCAGACACTCAAACGATTACAGCGGTGTGTCGACTCTTATAGCTGACAAACTGTTTATCCTCCTTGGTGTCATGTAAATCACTTTAAGCATCGTGTAAGCGTGATAATTTGCCAATTTGGAGAAACAAAATCTTAATTCTAGAAGCCAGAATTAGCAACACAGTGATTATTTACACTGCTAAGCTCTTATATAAGTGTGAACATTATCTGAATTGAACTTTTTGTTCTGGATGTCAAACAGCTGTCTCTTTTCTTTGCTGTCTCCGTATCCATCCAACAAACACACCTTTTTTTTTTCTTCTTCTTTTCTTTACTATGTTCTCTCTGTTTTTTTTCCGGACTAAACTTCCCTGAATTCCACACATATGTCCAGTTGAGTTGCTCGGAGCGTCGGTCACAGAGCAGAGGTAGTTATATGTCAGTCACCCCATGTTCTCCAGTGGGCTGTCTCTTTAATGGCAGGAAGTCAGAGAGAGCCCCCCAGAGACCCACAGAGGAGGAACAGACAGAGACAGAGAATGCTCCCTCTATTTATTCTAGGCAAAGGACGTGTGAGCACAACTTACAAATCCAGACTCAAAACACAGAAAAAGAAGAAGACCTTTCAGACTTTTCTGTTAAATAAAACAAACATTTTTTTATTGAGCTGATACAATATAAAATAACTCCTTTTTAATTGCCTTTGGAACAAGCAAATTACAGTTTATTTATAGAGCCAGCGAGGCGTTTACTATGTTCAAATATGGTTCTACTGTAGTGTTAATGATGGCTGATATGGTTTGGCAGGGACTCTGCTTTTCTAAGCTTTGAGACTCTGCGTCTCCGCAGAAAGCCAGACTATCTCTCAGAAAGGAGCTCATGAATCAAATAAACAAACTTCCAAATTCGGCTTTCCCGGCCGTCCACTTTCCACAATATTGAGCTTCTAAAATAAGGTTAGCGTGGATCTAGGAGGATTTTTCTCTTGTGGTGTGTTTTGTCTACAAAGCAAATACGTGCACAGATAACACCTGATGGATTTGATGGATGACGGTTGAACTGGAGGGATTATTCAACTTTTGCACCTCTGAGTCGGTTCATTAGCGTGACCTCCCGAAAACCGTCTGGGCCACTCTGCGGTGTGCCTGCTTCTCATTTTCCGAAAGTAAACTTTTCACTCCTCAGGTTGAAGGAAATGGTAATTTCTCATCAATTAACCAGGCGTTGTTGCAGCGAGATGTTGATGGATTTTGTAATTAAGGAAGTGTCGGGTGGAGGCCTCTCCACCCAGCTGCAGATTCAGATACTCTATCTTAACCAAAGTGGAGATAGAAATATATGTCCGATATAAAGGGCTCGATTAGATTGTTTCAGGATACATGTTTTTTTTTACAATTTTTCAGTTTATCTTTGTCGTCTATAAAATGCCCAAATTTCTTTAAAAATGTATTACAGTTTCAGAGAGCTTAAAGTGAAGTCTTCATGACCTCTTCTGTCCTACAAAGGGTCAAAAACCCAGAAAGAAAAAATTGATCTACTGGTGTAAAGGACAAAGAAAAGTTGCAAATCCTTCCACTTATTGAGCAAGCAAATGGTTCGACTTACAAAATGACTGATTGTCAGAATAGTTGGTGATTCATTTGTCTTTTGGCCGATTAATTGATCAATCGTTACCCGTAACTAAATCTAATATTTTTACAAGAAAGCTTTAGAGGGAAAACTATTGACTCTGACAAAATCAGTGTATCTTTGGACTGTGTTACCCTCACTGTCTCTCTTTTCAGTGGAGGAATTTACTATACATGGAATATGTCAAGGACTTACGACTTGGTGTACTCCAAATTTGACATCCTTGTGTTTGTAGATTCACTACTTATCTGGCAGAAAATTTTATAATTATGCAAAAAAAAGGGTGTTTAATATGTATTAAATAAGCATCAAGTTAATGAAACACTATCAACCTGTTTCTTGAGTTCTCCTTCCTCAAGTCCGTAAACCTGGGAGTGTTTCTGCTCGGCTCCCCAAAGCGATCCACGTGTCAAGAAAGGCCAGGGGGTGAAATAACACCGGCTTTATCTTTGCTCAGTGGACCTCATCCATCTGTGATAGTACAAGTGATACTATGAAAACAGTTGCGGCAGCGTTGGTCGACTGAAGGTTTGACTAATGAGACCTCCAGAATAACTTTCACCTCCGATTTAAAAGGGGGGAACTCCTGGAAACGTCTGCCATCACCACTGATGCTATCATACCTCTTTATGACATGTTTTACAGTTTTCTTTCAAAATAAAAGATCCTGAAAAATAAAGATATGGACGCAATCGTTTTAATGTCAAGGTTAGCAGTTCCCTTTGGAGCAACAGTGAGTTGAATTGGACACAAGTGGTTGAATAATAGAAAATACAAGTAGCAAGTAAAAGATCAGTGCAGAAAGGAATTGGTATAGTCGTTTCTGAAACACACAGTGGTAATTTAGTCTAATTACACTGCATGGGGGGGAACATCAGGATGCAGTTAACATTTTTTCATTGGACAGATGATTAGGTGTTCTCGCCAGTCTATCTATCTCAATCACACCGGCGTTTTTTAACTGCTTGTCTAAGCGAGCGCTCGCCCTGATGAAAGAGACGTTCTGAGCAGACTGAGCCAGATAGCAGCTCAGTGCCTCACTGCTCAGTCTACTGTGGGGGGGGGGGAGAGAGTGATGCAGCAAACAGCTGTTGGGGAAGCATTCAAACCCAGATCTTTACTTCCTTGACCGAGGGTAGAGTATATGGACCCTGATAGCATTCCTGACCAGTCAAAGGTGGCGTGTGTTTGTACAAGGATTACGTCCCCCGGCCTGCCTGCGAGGCGAGGACCCCTCGGATGAGCTTGGCTAGGATCCTCGTAGAGGAAATACAGCCGGAAACAAGCAGAATATAACAAATTTACATTTGACTTTCAGCTTTCCTAAAAGGACTTACATAGTGCTTTCCAAAAAGATAAGGTTGAGAACAGGAAAGCAAGCAGCAAAAAAAGCATCAATGTTGTCCGTTTTTTTAGAGTATCCCAGAAAAAACTTGTCAGTCATTCGGGAAATCCATTGAAGTAGGTGGTCTTAGATTGCATTTCCTATCACGACAGATACTGTATCAGATAAACGGTGTCAAAATAGCTGTGGACCTCCAGCTGCGAAGGAACATTTGTAATGATTCAGCTTGCAAGCTAGCTTGTGTTTGTTGGTGGTGTTGAGTGTAATTTGTGTGACAATCAGACCGATTGAGCTTCGGTGGTACGACCTGAACGATGTAGTCACACCGTGTGAGCTGACAATTCACCACAACATATAATCTCGTGGCAGACATTGGTCGACGTTTTTACAGGCTTACAACTGCTACAGATGACGGATTCTCTTCATTTCTTTTTCAGACCACATGAATTATTACCGTATTGGTCCGAATATAAGACGACCCTGATTATAAGACGACTCCCGTTTTTCAACACTCACATTAAACACCTGTTGTATTAATAATTATAATAATAATTAACATACCGTATTTATCAGTAAAGGCCTACGGCACTTTTCAAAACAAAGTTTTTCACAAGGTCAAAATATGTACAGTATGATTCAAAATTAACATCAACAGAGAGAATACAGGCCACATCTTTAACGAAACTAAACTAAAGCTCGCCAAACTTCTCCTCCGATGTCTGCTATTCCTCACACACGTCCTCCGCCCCGCTGTGTTCGCTCTCACTGTCATCGCTCCCCTGCTCCTCCCAGAGTGCGTCATGTTAATTGACATTTAAAGGGACAGGCGAACAATTAGAGCTGCGCTCTGAATGCTAGACCCCGAATATAAGACGACCCGACTTTTTCGGACCTATTTCGATGGGGAAAAAGGCCGTCTTATATTCGGACCAATACGGTAATTTCTTAAAGTCTTAAAAAGTGTATCTGGAGAAAATTACCAACAGGTAGAAAGTGCACTAATGAAGGGGTTTGTTGTATTATGGTGCTGTTTCAGTACTAGTTGCAACAATTGCTTGTTGGGCTTTTGTTGATCTGGAGGATCAGATAAAGAAAGGGTGCATTAAGAAAAAGTGGATAAATGATGCATCTCACAGTCCATACTGAGAATATTCATTCTACTTCCCTAATATTTCAAGAACAATAAAACATTTGGCACATTAGGAAGCTAAGCATGCCAAAATGTGTTTCACTCTTGGGAGTGAAAGTAATACATCTCCTCATTTCCCCCCGTGGTGGAGACAGTAGAAAGTGGTTGAGAGCAGCGTTTCTTGAGCAGGATGGTCTGTGCCAAACTAAGCTGTTCAACAAAGGGAGGAGGACAAACTATCTGCCTTGTCTTATCCCTGTGAAATTCCCATCATTCTGCTTCTCCACTCACATGGCTGTGCT